TTTCCACTTTCTGATTTCCAGCTCCCCTTCCTTGACACATGTAATCCACTGAGATGGGGTTTCTATGGATTTTTAATGGTTCTGACAATATCTATTAGCTAAATTAAATTAACTAATTATATTTTATTTTATATTAATTTTAACTACAATGATACACATTTAATAGGTTTAATGTTTCAGTAAGTTTCTATTTTAGTCCAGAATCTCAAATAGGTCCCCTATTTGTTTGGTATCTCAATTAGATACTTATTTTTGTAAAATTGAAACAAATAGAGGTCTTTCGTCAAATTGGACAAACGCCGTTTAAGAGGCCATTACGTGACATGCTGACAGGAGTATTTTAAATGAAGTGACATGATATGTACAATAATTAGATTCATGTAACATGTAATTTCTTATTTTTTGAATTAAAAAATTGGAAGAATTGCTTAATCAACTTCGTCTTCCAACTCTAGAACCATAATTCCTTTTCGTTTCTTTATGCCGCCACCATAACCCTAGCCACCGCCACTGCCTCACCAACTATCCACACAACAACCATCAACCTTCTCAACACCATGCATTGCTGCCACAAAATCTCCTCTCTCAGGCCACCATGCCACCATTAGCCACCACCTGCAACTATAATACAGAAATGCAACTCGTGTAAAAATTGTTGTCGCGAAACCAAATCACCATCATCATCTTCGCCCAACCTTCATCGCGACACACCTCCATCATTCTCACCATCACCGAACCTGCAAACCCAAAGCCAGAAAACACACAAAACCCAAATCACTTCAACATGCCACCACCAAACCCTTAGGTTATCGGCGTTGTTAACCTTAATCCGCGCCTCCTTGCCGACACAAATTCAGGGTGAGGAGGAGCACGACGACGTGTCCGATAAGCCGTCCTCTGCTTCCTCCGATTCTTGCCGCTGAACCGCCGATTGCAGACTTCGTTCCTTTAGTTGCTGACTCCGAAACCCTACTTGTGTGGTTTGTTTCTGCAGCAAGGAGGCGAAGGATTCAGATTCAGAATGAATGGTTCAGTTTAGTGGAGTATGCCTGTGGAATGAAGAAAATCTGGGGTTGAATTTCCAGGTTTTTAAATTCTCCAGATGGAGACTTTTAGGTTTGTGCATTGTTGTGTGTTGGATTGAATGTTTGATGTTTTGTTTGCAATTTGTAGTGACCGTGGTTGTACTTGGATATCTAGTTTCTTAGGTTTTGTTTGAAAATGTGCACGCAACTATTACTATTGTTACTTATTTGTTTTGCTCACTTTGCCCTTAATTAAATTTGATTTCCCCTCTTTGCACTCCATTTTTTAATACAAAATACACTTCACATACATTTTTAATGACACGTCAGATTAAACCATCCCTCAGCATGCCGCGTAACGCCATCTTAAACATCATTTGTCCAATTTGATGGAAGACCTCTATTTATTTTAATTTTACAAAAATAAAGACTCAATTAAGACATCAAATAAGTTTCAAACAAGTATGAAACTTATTTGAGATTTTGGATGAAAATAAGAACCTATCAAACCATTAAACTAATTTAATATTATTTCTTTTATTTATTAAAACATTATTTAATCTATCGTATCCATCAAATCATTAAAAACTTTACATGCACTTTCACATCTTTATTNATTTCCCCTCTTTGCACTCCATTTTTTAATACAAAATACACTTCACATACATTTTTAATGACACGTCAGATTAAACCATCCCTCAGCATGCCGCGTAACGCCATCTTAAACATCATTTGTCCAATTTGATGGAAGACCTCTATTTATTTTAATTTTACAAAAATAAAGACTCAATTAAGACATCAAATAAGTTTCAAACAAGTATGAAACTTATTTGAGATTTTGGATGAAAATAAGAACCTATCAAACCATTAAACTAATTTAATATTATTTCTTTTATTTATTAAAACATTATTTAATCTATCGTATCCATCAAATCATTAAAAACTTTACATGCACTTTCACATCTTTATTCTTTAAAATAAATAACACAACAATCCTCTCAAATTATAATTTGAATATGATGATATAAATAAAATATATCACTAAAATATATGAATAACCTTAAATATTAGATAATATCACTTGTTATTCACACTGTCAGTATTAATTTCAACCCTATCAACTTTTAATTTTTAATAAATACAGAGACAACATTAACTCTAAAATATTTAAAAAATCACATTAAATAGTTTTGATAAATATTGGATGAAAAATAGTATTAAACTATTTTTTCAACTATCAAATATAACATTAATATACTTTTTCCGTTTAACAAAAATACTTAAAGCAAGTGGTAATTAATAAAATATCAAAAAAGATTGAAAAACTGATTAAATTTTTATTAAAAGTGAAATTCAATCAGTAACATAAATAAATAATAGATTTAAAAAATAATTAAACCTAAACTTAAACTATTTGGTGGCTCAATTGAGGACAAAACGCGGAAAAGAGTGACGACTATAGCTATCCCTTTCACTTATTAAAACTTGACATCTCAGTCTGAGTCTCAGTTCCTCATCTTTCTCTTCCCTCACACCATTTTCAGGTTGCATTCCAATCTCCTTCCCTTGTTCCCATATCTTTCAATTTTCATGTCACTTTTCACTTCATTGCTTGTTTGCTTTCCACTCATGCATGTTTTCTTGTGAAAGAACTTCATTTTTGACGGTTGGGTTTCTCGAATTTATTTTGCTTTTTTTTTTCTTTCATATGAATGTTATTTCAAACTTCTTAAACATGTTTGATGGAACTGAGAAATTGGTATGAGTTTGGATCTTATGCTCTACCCTTTTAATAACAGGATATTATTATCAATTTATGTTCCTGAGATATTGAAAATTTCTGAACTTTCTTGCCCCTTCAACCTGGGGTTAGGTTAGGTGAGGTTGAGTTATGTATTAAGGTCTTTCTAGGGAGGAATAATGAGTTTTTCTGCAGTTTTATGCTGTCTTAGTGGAGGTTCTTGTGCTTTTGTAGGATTTGAAGCATGGCAGATTCAAAATCAGGATTGAGGAAGCCCGTATTTACCAAGGTGGATCAGCTTCGCCCTGGGACAAGTGGGCACACTTTAACTGTGAAAGTGGTCAATGCTAAGATGGTGATGCAGAAAGGTCGTTCTGATGGTCCTCAGTCCCGTCAAATGCGAATTGCTGAATGTTTGGTTGGTGATGAGACTGGAATGATCATATTCACTGCCAGAAATGATCAAGGTATATATGTTTTATTGCTTTCACAAAGCTGTCCATATTCATGTTTTCTGTCATTGCATGGTGTTTTTCTATTGTTCTCATTGTGTTTTTCTTTGGCTGGGTGAAGGGGCGTTATTTATTTGGTTGTTTTGCACTGAATAAGTGCATGTCATGTGTCTAGTGTCCTGTTTTGTCCATTTTTTGGCCATCTTCCATTTCCATTTCTGTTTTGATGTCGGTTAGTTCTGGACATTCATCTGTCCAGGGACATGCATTAGTTGCTTTATTCTGTGAATTTCATGTGCATCTGTAGTTACTGCTTGTGGTATGTACCGTGAACTGACGGTGAATTGTCCTGAGCTATAACAGATACTTCACTTTGCTTATCTATGCAGTTTTGGATGTATAAATCACCAAAACCACTTCTATATTTTTTTCTTACATATCTGATACTGCTTGATATTATGAGATGCCTAAATTCTAATTAAGTAGAATAAGATATTCGGTGTACTGAAATATATAAGAGCTACCAATGAGATGCCTAAATTCTAATTAAGTTGAGTGAAGTGTCAACAAGTGAAATGTTGTAGAGAAGGTGTGATGGTGTTGGATCTTGGAGATGTGCTGATAGGGATTTGAGTATTGTAGATCTAAGTCCCTCATTGAACAATAGGAGATGCTTGGTGGAGTATGTAAGTGTTTGGATTTGATATGTTTTGGTGAAGTGTCAAGTCTGCAAAGCATTTTATGAAAATTCAATGCAACTATATGAAACATACAAGGATGTGCGATGAAGAAACATTGTCCCTAGATATACCAAATATACAAATTGTTCTCTTTGTAAATGATTTTAAGAAAGGAGTGAGATTTATGGTAGTATTCATATATGTAAATGGTAGAAAGTAATTTATGATGCAATGGGTTATAATTTTGTATTTAATTTAGCAATATATAAGAAAGATGTTTTAAATTTTGATTTGCAGAATTGTAGTTACATATTTATTATGTCTTATGAATTTTTAGATATTTTTAAATATGTATCATACCCTCCATATCAAACATGATATGTATCCGATATGCATAATGTATCTGTGCATCATTGGTCTTGAACGTTTATAGATTTGCTTTTTAAAAGAAACTTCTATAAAAGATATATACTTATTCAGTTAGTGGAATTTTATAGAGAATTTACCATATGAAGTCTTCCGGAAGTCCCAGGTTTGTAGTTAATTGTGCACTAGATGATCTAAATAACTGCAAAAATTTATGCAATAGAGGAATCAGTGTAATTGCTGTTGCGTGTTTTTCTTGTTTCTTGTACCCAAAATATCCTAATTAATGTCCATTTTTATTTTCTTGCAGTAACGTCATCAACCATATACACTTTTTGTCTCAAAATTTTATAGAAATTAGGATAAAATAAGGAATAATCTGTCTTTTCTTATTTGTGTTTAGCATATATTTAAACCAGTCTGTTGTTAACTTGTTATCCGACTAAAAAAGCTCAAATTCCTGTTTGGCAGCATTTGGTAACAATAGAAAGATCTCTATATAACGTACACATATAGTTATTGTTAGAATAATTACTAAGTCTACTTGTTAGTGTTGTCAGTAGGACTAAAATAGGGGGTAGTGTGTTGGGTTATCTCTAATCATTGTACCTAGCAGTCTAGGACAGTGACTTGACCTTCTATCTCTCTATTGTATCAACTCTTTATCTATATAAATAACAGAACATGAGAGGTGTCTTTTAAGCCCTC